TTTTGGCATCGTTGGATAGAGAATTGAAAAGTCCATTCAGTCGTAACAACGTGAGTGAGGAAATTCGAGTAGTTTTGACCCAGAAAGCGAAATTTAAATATCAGACACTTAGGTGCAAGATTATGTCAAAATTTCATGTTTTTCCTCATTTCTCGGAGGCAAAATAAGCAAGAACGCTCATTTGTACATCATTCCAGAGAGAAATAAATGGCCTAATTAGAAAGTGAACCATCGATAAGCAAATGTTGGCCGTTTTCTCAAAAAATGCTTGAATTCAAGAAGTCTTAGATTTGTGTGTGAACACCTGAAAATCCACTGGGTTACCCAGGCCTACCTCAAACAGATACAGATATTAAAATGTGAAAAATATTTCCAGGACAGAGTGTCTCAAGCTGCTGGTAGCTGTGAGCATACTGACCTGCTCAGATGTGGCGGAACGGACGGAAACGCTCAACAAATGGATAGAAATCGCGATTGACACGAAAACAGCCCTGGGAAACCTGTATGGGTTCTGTGGGATCATGCTGGGTCTTTGTTTGCCTCAGGTAGGGCCACATTTCATTCTAGAGAAGTTTCTGCAGGTGAAAATCTTTCAGATTGAACGACTGGACACAACGTGGCACATGCTGCGCCAAAAGTACACAGACTCCGCCTTCAATTTCGAAGCAAAACTCCGCCCAACGCTGAAAAACATGAACAGCTGCTCAAATCCGCAAGCGCCAAACACCACGTTGCCCCACCTGCTGCCGCTCGTCTTGCTATTGGAGCGCGACTTGCAGGATTTTCTCAACTCGACCAATCAGAGCCAACTCGCGCACAGCTGCCTCAGCCTATGGGAGTCGAATGCGCAGGACTTCGGACTCACCACCCTATTTAAGCACCTGCAAACCGCTCGCAAGTACATGAACATGCAGCACATGTTCCAGAGAAATGCGGAAATTGTGTTGAAAGAGGCGCGGACGGATGAGCTCACTCTGGACATGTTCAAAACAGAGTTTCACTTAAAGTTCTTGTGGGGCAGCCGGGGGGCTTGCGCAAGTGCCCCTGAAAGGCATGCAAAGTTCGAGCAAGTTCTCACTGTAATGGCGGAAAAGTATTGTAATGCGACATGCGAAGCTGAGGTTTAAATTAGGTAGAAATAAAGGGAAAAGGGTTCGTTTGCGGTTGATTTCGCGTTTTCAAGCAGCACTGCCATTATTCCAGGATTGAAAATGGTGCCTTTATCATTTCTGCACTGTCCAGCTCTTGCAAGCCCTGTCCCGACGAAACTACATCGGGTGTCCCAACAATCTGGGACCACCCGGAAATTATACCGATTTGTACAAAGTTGCGACAAATAAATGTACATTACAACTATAACAAGGTTCCTAAATAGGCGAACTGATTAGGGCCGCTAAAAGACGAGAGAATCAAAAGTTCGAGCCACTGTTGGAGACCGATTCCTACTAGACTAAGTTGGACCCAATATATCTAGTCATAAATGTATAGAGGAGCAGCTTAAAGCGTTTTATAGGTTTTAGAGAGTAGTGATTGAGTTGGACATATCAGTACTGGACTAAGGTTTCGCTGAGCTACAAGTACTGTAAAATACGCTTTAAATCTTGTACGAGAAATTTAGCGTTTAGTTTTTTTATACGGTGCTCATTTATTGTTGCATATTTTAACACCACACTGTTTCCTTGGTCTTCGATTTTTGACAATACCACTAAAAGACTGCTGCTTTTCACTAGTGGGCATTTGATGCGACGATTCCCATCCATATCACATGCAGCTACAAAAACGCTCACAAACACCGCCAGATAAGCAAGCTTATTAACGACTGAATTGTGATTCTTTTAGAACATTTACCATTTACATGATTTCTAATGTGATGTTACTGTATATTAAGCATATAATAAAAGGCATATTATATTAATATATTGTGTAGGGATTTTAATAATTTATTAACGGGTCTATTGAACGTTAGGAGTAGCATGGAACGGCAGCAATGACTAGGAATTACTGTAATTAAAATGTATAGTGGTAGGAGGACGTTTAGGAACATGTGTAAGGTAACGTTAAATAATCAATAAAACAAACATATTAGAACTTGTCTTTAAAATATACAGCGTAAAACAGAAAAGAATGAACATACATACGTGCGAAAACAATCCACTAAGTAACTTAGTTCAAATCCTCAGGTAGTTTCCTGGCAGATTTTCTGCACGGTCCGCTTCAACATCTCCTGCCTGACATGTTGGGGAATGCGAACTTTTTTCCGCTTCTCCATGTCCGGGCGGCTCTCCTTTTTCTGTATCGGATTGTTCTGGACTTTCCTTTGCTTCTTTTTACAGGACATCGGATTGGGCCCCTTCTTTTTTCTCCTCTTCGGCTTCACCTCCTCTTGCACTGCAAGGCCGGCCTGCTTCTTCATTTTGTGCACTTTTTCCAGTTCAGTGCAATTGATCACGCTTGCTTTCTCTTGGGCCCTTTGCAGCGATACTTCACACGGCTGTTCCAAAACTGGCGTTTTTGTGTGAAGGTATAAGAGAGGAACGCCTAAGGAAAACCCATTAGTTTCAAGAAAATTAGATTTTGCGGTTTTATAATTGAACTAACTTGAAAGACGTTTCTTACAAACCTTAGTAGCTCTAAGGAGGAAGAATTGGGCCAAAACTCACCCGGCAAATTCCGCAATTTCTCCTGCAAATCGCGATCCTGAGTGCACACAATATAATGGCTGGAATTCTCGCCGGAAACCATCGACCCGATGCAGGCTGAACCCGTAACAGGGCGACGCTCGTGCCCACATTTATGCACCACGTAGTTTTTCAGTATGGCCAAAGCCCCGTTCAGCTTGGGCCCCAAATTCTCGGTCTCCATAATAGCACACGGGGTCGTAATGAGTTTGACCTCGCTCTGCAGGTACTTTGGTACGTCGTTTGCCACATTGATTTTGTTCTGAAACAAGAACGATTCCACTGTAGGGGCTCTGCCTTGAATGGTTTGGGGGTTCTAAGGAAAACGTGCCCGGATTTCTAAATACTCACATTCAGGGCGGCCAGGCAAAAAGTACCGTCTACCAACAGTTGGTAGGGCTGCCGGAAGCCGAAATTATTAGCAAAAAAGCCCAGGCTTTTATTAACTTTCTTGTATCTTCGAATTTTCATTTTGTTTGTTTACTGTGGCGCTTCAGAGGTTAGAAGCTCCTTGCAGCGTTGACAGTTGACAGGCCAGACCAAGAACCACAGATCACAGAGGTTACTCTGTGATCTGTGGTTAGGAGCGGTTGTAAATAATAATGTTATACTAATTTTATGGTGCATGGTTACTAACTATTGGTTATCACGTCGCTCACCCGATCGAAGAAGGTATGTTTAGACTTGCCATCATCGTCTTGGCTGAAGAGCACTTCAAAAGTTCGAAAAGCCCAAATTTACACACATCTATCACATGGAATTATCTTCAGTTTTTTTTTAACCTACCTAACCTTTTTATGTCTATTCTACCGCTTTTGTAGTACTTGATCTGGCAACACTGGTCATGTGCGAATTCTCCAAAGTGGGGTTATTTGCAAGCGCAGACTACTTACTTTTACCTAAAAACTATTATTAATTATTATAAAATTGTTAAAGGATTAAGTGAAAAGGATTGCCAATCCTGATTTCATTGCGCAATTAGCAGTTTTGAGTCGGAAAAGGCAGACAAATAGGTTATAACCTGTACTTTATTTACTGACAAGTGGCTACTGATAAATGTAAGATGACGGCCCCAATGGAGCGAATTCAACTGCTAGACTCCATCGAGAAGGACATAATCACCTGTTTAAACAGCGCCGGTTAGTACAGCGAGAAACAGCCCCTTTTGATCACTGATTGCACGTTCCCCCAGGTCAGGTGTTTTTGGAGCTCAGCAAAGAAAAGTCGAGCCTCAAACAGGCTGAAAACCACACACAGACCTTCCTGAAAACGCTTGGAGCGGTCGAGAACAAGCTGACCGATCAGATCAATTACTTGACTCAAGTGTCGACTGGCCAGCCCCACGAAGGTTCCGGCTATGCTTCGCAAAAAGTCCTGCAAATGGCTTGGCATCGACTGGAACATGCTCGATCGCGAGTGAACGAGCTGGATAAGATCAAGCTGAAGCATTTCCAAGGTGAGCTCAGAGAGTGATTAGTTAATCTACAGTTTAGAGTGTTTGTTTCTTCCAGAAAGAGCTGCAGCTCAAGCGAAGAGGATGCAGGCGCAGTCCCAAATCCAGGCCGATGTTGGGGCTGGCCAGGGCTCCGCTATGAACGTGTCCCATCCAATGCAGTCGCAGTCCACATGACAATTGACCGATTTGTATCGCGAGCTCCTGTTTCGGATGATTGAGTACCAAATGTGCAGCGCAGCCAATAAGGAACCAGTCTGATGTAATGAAGGTGATTTTTTTGAGCGATCGACATTGGTTTATAAAACGAATTATTTTCAAACACTAAACTTCTGAAACATTGTTCTGAATTCTCCATTTCTCTACCTCCCGTTTGATGGCTTTAATATCTTCGGCCCCTGTTCTGCAGCATCCTCCGATTCCTTTCACTCCCATATCCAGCCATTTGGCTACGTAGCTTGATAGAGGCGCACAGTCGGTTTTTGTGAAACTGAAATGGAGATTTGCAGGTTTATTAGTGCTTAGTAGTGCCTACTGAAGGTTTGGCTCTAGTCTCTACACAAAACTACACAAAATTCTACCCCTAATATGTGAAATGTTGGTTTTATTCGAGCATAAGTATATTACAAAAAATAGGTACAAGTTTCAGTCCAACGGGTTGTTCGTTAAAATTATCGGAGCAAAATGGCCCCTTGTACTATAAAGTCGGTATTCCTCGCCTCCCAACAGATCTCGCCCATCCTCCCCTAACAGCAGTGGTTTTGCTTCCACTTTTCCACCTCCCTGCGGATTCTGGTGATATCAATAGCGTAGGTTCTGCAACATCCTCCTATCCAGGTGACGCCCAGGTCCAGCCAACGCTCTATGTAAGTCTCTACGGGCTCACATTTATCTCGGTTGATCCATCTGAATCGTAATCAGCTCTTTACGTGATGAGGAAAGGAACTAGGGATGATTTCATGTGAGTGAATTTGGTCTGAATCGGCAAATGCATCAGGCGCTCTACTGGTTTGGCAAGATTAAACGGGAAGAATAACTGAATTGCATAGACATTATTGACTGCTCTAATCTGCATGAACGTCCCCATGATACCCATGCAATCTACTCTACAGCTTCCTCCAAACAATTCCCACTTACCCCATTTCCACGTTATAGCTTTCGCCGCTGTTCGGGTAGACCACGATGGGAATCGGCGTGCTTCTGCCAACATTTATTCCATCTACCAGCGATTCGATCAGTCTTGGAGCGGTGCAATTCACACCAACAGCAACTAGTTGATCGGGGTTCAGGTCATAACAAGCTCTGGCCGTTTCTTGAAACGGCTCCCCAAAGGCAGTCGATTTGCCGTCTTGCTGAAACACCACTCGACTTCAGCAAGGTCTGGATCAAAAGGCGAATGAAAAACTTACCGCTACACTAAATGCCAGCCAAGCTTTGGTTTGGGGATATTTGTCTTTGAGTAGATTGACCAGCATTTCCGCTTCGGCTCTACAGGGGATGGTTTCGATGGCAAGCAAATCCACACCACCTTCTATGAGAGCGTCTATTCTAGGCACATGCCAGGCTTTCATGGTCTCTACTGGCGTGCTCCTTGCGTAGGCTCCAGTGTATTCTGAGCCGTCGTGTAGCGACGCTCCATAGGGTCCGACGGACCCGACAATTAGAGGCTTTTCTAAAAAGTTTTGCCAATTTTTCATTCTAATCTAAAACATAAAACTCCATACAAACTTACTGGCATCAGGAAACTCTTGCAGATACCGCTCAACAGCTGTATGGGCCAATTCCACCGACTTCTTAATCAACGCATATGCTTCTTCTTCTGTTAGATTCAAGTGTTTAACAAACAGGCCTATGCTGGCTTGGTATGTGTTGGTGATAATCAGATCAGCGCCAGCTGCAATCGATAAACAATCAGCTTCAGCTACTGAACAATGTTGAGATCAACTACCGCGTAAAAAATCAATGTGAGTGTCAATAACAGCTTCGGGATCAGAAGCCAGAAATCGGGCGCTCCATAGAACGTCTCCATCGATGGGTTGGGATACGTGGCAACTCAGTTGAGTGGCGAAGCCTCCATCTAGGACTACGATGTTTTTCGAGTGAAGAAAGTTCGGGTTTTCTTCTGAGGAGCTGCTGATTCCCGGAGGGGCCATGGTCTGGAACATTGATGGAAATGTTCAAAAATAGCTACGTTTTTCGTTTTTCAGGCCAATACGTGGGCTACTATCTACTAACAAGTAGTTGCAGTTATCTTTCCTAATGAAACATTACATTAAACAGTCATTTAAAGATAACAGTTTCCAGCGGTTATTTACGTAGTTTGGAACCAGAATATTCCCATTTGGCGCTCGAGTATTAGTTATGCGTAGATCATCTAAAAATACTGCGAATTATCTGAAACAATTCCATCTGACTAGGTGAACATTCGTTTGCGTGAAATGCTGAAAACTGAAAAGGTTGCATTCGTTCCTGCACATCTTTTAAGTGTCGCTTTCTGGACTTAATCCGATAAGACTTTAGATGGGGGTCATAGTTAAATCAAGGTTATCTGAAGATACGATTACAACATGCTAAATTGAGAATGTTTTACTCGATCAGACAAAGCAGAATGACGATAATTGGGGCACAGTGTTTATCTTAAGCTTCCGACTATTTTTGAAATGGCACAGAACTGATGAGGTGGGCAAAGATGCTGACATTTTTCCATGATGCCTTTATGGTGCAGTTAGACACAAACATGTTTAGAAAACAGTCGAAAATTGCAGGAAATTTATTAATCGTCTTAAATCGTCATCTATCAGGCTAAGTGATATGTTGCTAGAAAACTAAGCCTAAGAAAAATCCCCTGTTTAAATTATCAGTCAGAGTTTTATAGTTCAATCATCGTTTTTTGCTGGGCTTGTAGTAGCAACATTTTGTACTTTTGAGCCGAAAATCCTGGCAACAAATATGAAAAATTTGGCAATTTCCGCACAAACAGCGCAACAGACGTCTTTGCACGGCAAGATCGATTCACAATCTTCAAGTTGAAAAAAAGCCAAAAATTCAAGGAAAAAGTGACAACATTTTCTCTGTCGAAGGGCGTAAATGCCAACTGACTATTTTCTTCCAACTATAATTGAAGAATTTTGGAAAAAAGCGCAACACTGTGTTCACAGTTGAGATCAATTCTCAAATTTAATTTCAAAAAATTCAACAAAAATGTGTCAATCGCCGCATAATTAAGACATTTTCTCTATCGAAGGGAGTAAAGCCAACTGACTATTTTCTTCCAACTATAATTGAAGAGTTTTTGAAAAAAGCGCAACATTGTGTTCACAGTTGAGATCAATTCTCAAATTTAATTTCAAAAAATTCAACAAAAATGTGGCAATCGCCGCATAATTAGGACATTTTCTCTATCGCCAACTGACTATTTACCTTATAACTATAATAGAAGAATTTTTGAAAAAATAGCGACAGTGCACACGAGAGAACAAATCTTGAGTTTAAAAAAATTCCGCAAAAATGTTATATTTAGTGGCTCTAATCTCTCTCTCGCTCTATTTAGTGGCATTAATACTTGGCGACATTGCTTTGGAGGTGTTGTTTGGTGATGTTTGACGAGTGCAGAAAAACTAATTGTTCTTAAAAACTGAGAAATTTGCAAAAAACTATATTAGAAAAACGGCAACAATGTTTTTCAAGGTAGTCTGCCTAACTAACATTACGTAGATACCTGTTGCTTCGTAATTATTTAAAACACCGGTAACCATGGATAAATAGAGAAAGTGACAATAAGATAGAAAAAGATAAACGGTAAATTCAACAGGAATCGTTGAATGACGGAACATATTTCGAAAATCATAACCTCGAAATTTGTTTACACATTTTAAAAACATGTTTGCATCGGTAATTCTAAACAAGTGCCTGTGCAATCACCTTCTTATACACTCTTCTCGTATTCGTCTAATTATCTCCTGCTCAATTTGTGCCGGTGTTCAGTAATCCATTGGTTTAATGTGATCTTAGATACGTGGTAGGAATGTATCCGGTATTTATTTGGTGCCTGGGAAAGCGTCAGTGGTTCTGCAATGTTCTGAGGCAAAAAAATGTCAATATTTTTCTGGTACCTTAAAAGGAATGACGCCAATTTTGAATCACCCTGTATTTGCAGTTATAACTGAGGAATTTTTGAAGAAATTCTGTTTTTACTGTTTGCACAGTTTGTCCTTATTTCTTCGCATCTGTCTGATCAAAGCGTTCACTTCCAAGACGCAAAATTGCAATATTAGATTGGCGGGGTATTTTTAGAAAATTGTTGCCATTTATTTAGCAGGAGATGAAAATTGATGCGGGCTATTTCCGATCAGGTCGCCGAACCCACAAACTCTGGATATCACAAGTTGAATTTTTATCTGAATCCAGCGAATCGATGAATTTAAAATCCCACTGGCGCCAAACGGAATCTGGGTCAATCGAGCCAAGCGATGCCCATTGGGACACACTTTATTCAAACTTACCTATTAAAGAACGTCCAACAGCAGGCGAATAAAACACTCAAGAAGCTAAAGCTTTTTGATAAACACTGTATAAAGCACCTTTTGAACGTTTCTGATGGCAGTGCGTTTATCAAGGCGAGTCCGTGCCAGACTGAGAATAGAATGATAAGATGCAACAACACCACATTGAAGTGGCTTCTTGCCCGAACACTGCTCGACAGAGCAAAGGCTTTTTGGGTTTATTTCGGGTCAAATATGACTATTGCACTGGGGGAAATTATGGGAAGGGTACGCTCCCTGGGCCGGACACCAGCCGACTTTAAAAACTTAGTCTTTTCATACGCAAATCTTCTTGCGTGGGCCAGGTTGGGCAGTGTGTGCCTAATAAGTTTGAAACTATGTAAATTTCCACTGATCCCTTGTCCAAACAATGTGTTTACTTAACCGCCATCAGGGCCACTCTAATATCGCTTAGTCCGAAGAAATTCAATGACTTTTAGATCGAAATAATGTCAATAATCTATTAGAATAAAGGCTGCAGTAAAGCAGGCTCATCTGCGCAAATGCTGCAAAAAATCTATTTCTGCTACGCAGTCGACACACTGACGTCAGAGTGCGTCTTGATCAAGGGCGGATCCAGGGGAGGGGGGTCATGGGGGTCATGACCATTCAATTCTCTATCCAACGATGCCAAAACAAATTCTCTGGCTCGAATGGTT